AAATCGTCAATTTCAAAGGAGAAGTTCAAGGAGACCTACTGTGGTGCTTATGCATACATATACTACCCTTGGGCAGTATACATATGTATATACATAAGCACACTCATGTATGCATCCGACAATTAAAATAGAAGCCAAACATTAGTATAACATATATCGTAATATGTGCGAGGCTAATTTAGAAATTTAGTAAGAAGTAGTACAGATTGAGATAAACACGTGCTAAAAACAGTTGCCAACTAATACTTTGATCTACTAATCATTAAAAATCGTTTCTGAGATGTTAAATACATCCACTGAGAACTGAGTCTTGTCGATTTCTATACTCCTGTAATCTAGATTTTCACAAAAATCACTCTTTTTATCAAGATTTATGTTATAACAAGTTGCAGAAATAAGTTTGGAAAGTATAACGAGACTGCGTCTATCTGCTTACTCAAGAATTCATAGCATTCTATCCGATGCCTAATTAAATATTCTATACATGAGTGAATAAATCATTAAGCATCGTCGAAATTCAACTAGATGGAACAATTGAAAATTAAGAACAAAATTAAGTTTTTTAGAAAAATTTTGAAACCTCAAATAGTTGATTTTTTCTCTCTCAAAAAACATTAAAAGATTAACGAAATAGATTAAATAAAGATTAAATCGAAATTCCTATTAACAGCAATCACGTATTGATGTCGATACATAAATAACAATATTCTATTGATTCTTTAATATATCTTACCACTGCATAAAAAAAAGACAATAACGTATATCGGCAACGGACAGAAGCCATTTCCATACAAAGCTATAAAAAAAACAACGACCAAAAACAAGAAAGAACATCGTTGAATCTATAATTCAATTTGTTTCATATATAAGGAACAAAAGACAAAAAGGCAACGATACCAAATTGAATCTGCCTGTGATAATCCGTGTTGATTTATTCGACATTTTCTTCTTATGAGAAAATGCTCATAATACAAATAGAAATTTCTCTCAAGGAGAAATCAACCCGATGAGATGTCAAAGGTTACATCATGACAGGAAATTGCGTTCGTATCGGGTGCTTTTGAGCGCTACTTCATTAACAGCAATGGAGAACGTTGTTTGAAAATAGGAACACAGCACATCCTACCGATATTCTGTCCACTAGCCAGAAAGGATAGACGCACGCGCGCAACCCCATCATGTTAACTTTGTCCCAACAGTTAAGCAAACAAAACGACACTCCTTGACCACCTGTAAGTTATACATTTCGTAATCAAATTTAAGTTCGTGGCCAATATATGGATATAATAGACTTCACAGAATAATAATTGGCTTCAATAAATGCTAATTCAGATATATGTATCATATGTAGGATGGTAAGTTTCAGATTGAGTACTCTAACGAGTAATTTCTCATTACATCACACTACGTCAGGAAAAAAACTTTATACGATCATATAGGTACTCGAAACGACTTATAGTTTCAAAAATGCAGGTTTCGCTAAATTAAAAAAAAACTTTAATTTGGATACTCGATATCTTAGCCTTTTCGAACATATGAAATGTTTATTTTACAGGTAATCGTCATACAACATGTGGACGTCTGTATGTTCAGTAACGGCAAGTTCAAGAATGTTGTGGCTCTTATGAGTTCGCAAGAGGATTGTCCTCTAGGTCCAGGTGGTAATTTGCGAAAGATTTACACTCTCAGGCTTGTTAAGGGCACAACTAAAAATTGGATTGCATTAGAGGATAGCTACGCGAAAACCGGAGCAAGTTTGGCATCAACAGTTACTAATCCTAGGAATGGACCCGATGATAGGAATGTTTATACAATTTACGTATCTTATTATGTGAAGGTAATTTTATACATTAAAAAAAAAAAAGGAAATAAAAATATATCTGTTTTAGTTTTGGTTATAAATAAGAACAAATTTTGAAAAAAATTATTATATGATATATTTTAGACACTTTATTTCAGATAAAAATAAATACAAATAAAGTTTGATATTATCGAAAACACGTATTGTTATATTAATTGATGCGATATTATTTTAAGGAAATTTAACTTAAGGAAATGAATATAAATCGATAAAAAACATCTTTTTCGTCAATTCATATCCATTTAATTTAAGCAAACTGATTCACATATATTTTGGATTAATAACTATTTAATTTTAGTTATCAATCAAATTATAATATGAAATTATTACAAAGTATTATAAAAAATATTTTATGAAAATTAATCCTAACTTTTTATCATTTTTTTTTCTTTAAGGTCAAACTGTTCATCTCGGCAATGGGTGGTGAAGTATCTTTGAAGCTACCGTTCACGCTGATGCACAGTAATATAGATGCAGACCTCGTGGGATTCCCATCCCCTATCCGAGAGATACCAAAAGAATTTGAAAAAACCACAAATGAGATCACAGAAAAATCTGACAGTAGTAGTATTAATCAAAATAAGGAGAATAAGCTGGAAGCCATTAAGGAACGGAAAGAGTCAAGGAATCAAGTAACTGACGTGGACCTGATAGAGCACTGTGAGGAAAGCGACAGCACCTGAGAGCGGGCGCAACAAGGCGACGCGATGTCGCGGCCGTCTGTCAGAAAAAGCAGTGATGCGAAGGATATTAAGAATTCCAATCACAAAGCTTGTAGACTCAGCGTCAGCATTCAACGAGCTTGGTGTTGCTTCAGAAGGGCCTCTTAGTAAACGAATAAATAGAATTTTTGTAGCGTTAGTGACAATTGATAGCATTTTGCTTTGCATCATCGTTGTGATTCCTTCTGTTTTCTCATAGAGAAATTTCATTACGAAATAAAAAAAGAAAATAAGGTAATATAATAAATCCTATTAATTGAATAAGTCGTTATAAAATCATTGGATGTCATAAATACGAATATCTCTTTTTTTAATAAAATGCAAATTCAGAAGTTATCAAATATATGCAATTTTAAGAAAGCAACTTATTTCGCTTTATATTTCGTAGAAAAAATTATATAGAAGCGCAATTAATTAAAATAATATATTTTTGTGAAAAATTGTGAAAATTGTACACCATGCATTCATACATATCACTCATATCATATTATCGTACACATTGTAGCAGAATTTTTTAATCGTTCTCAATAAAAGAGGAGCATTTTAATTATAAACATAGTACATATTTCAATCTATGTCTATGATTTCAACGTGAATGTCTTCGTTATAATCAAGTGTTGCTACTAATGTATTATATTATACGTAAATTATATTTCTCAGTATAAAAGGAGACATATTTCATTGAAAAATTATGATTTATTAATATTGAAATTTTTTTGTCTACAATTTTATTACACATGCGAAAAAGGATAATCTCCCAAGAAATACGTATTCCTGTATATTTACACCGTAAGCTAATATTAAGATATACATATATATGTAATATATTATTGTAAAAATTAGGAGAATTTTATCGATGTATATTTAAACGCGGAGACACTACTGTGTCTCCAGAACTTCGTGAATGTAAATTGTTTAAAACTGTTTACATTTATACCTTCCTACTCGTTTAATATATAAGAAGATTCCTACTGCCATCCTAATCATTTAAAACAAATTATGAGTCATTAATTTCGAAAACATATGAAAAAATACATGAGACATCGGTTGATACTCATAGTCGATTTTTATATTTAAGATTATTTTAAGTACAGTACAAGTTTTATGTGATTAGTTGATTTATGATGTCTTAAAACTGTTTTTAAAATGATCTTAAATATATATAAGAATACCGATTACAGAATTATTTTAGCATTTTAAGATATTACTTAAGATGATCTTGAAATAAAAACCGACTATGAATTCCAGCCATTTCATCATTCTTGTACGTAAACTGTAAACTTGGCTATCATTCATCTATATAAAGTAATTTATATCGAATTAAAAATATCAAAAATATTTTTTCAAGAAGATAAAAATCTATTTTTATTATAATAATAAATGTACAAATTATCCCACAATCACTAGATAAAATTTGAATTGTATGTCTCTCGATAATTGTAAATTTAATTTTTTATTAAAAATCATAAAACTTTTTTTCTAAGCAAAAGTTTTAATAACAGGTTTCGATCTTATAACTAACATAAAATATTTTAAAACATTATATTCAAAAATGAAAGTATACTTGAACTTAACTATCATAAAAGAAATTATCTATGTATATTTACAATATCAATTATACAAATAATTTTTTTATTTTCATATAAACTTCAAATGCATTACATGTATCATTAATGTGTTTTGTATATATAATATTTAGTAATAATGAAACACATTGCACATTACTATTCTTTTGTCTGCAAGTAATATATACACTGATCAATTACACGAAAAATTACAAACTAACATGACTCACAAAAACTAAATTATAGCAGTTATTTTTAAATGGTATTAACACAAATATCAAATAACACTTAAATTACTTCTTTATCTCTCTAATAAAGATATGTAAAAATGTACAAACTGTATCTTTAGCATTGTAAATAATAAATATTACATATAAAGATTGAGAATTGTCCAAAGAGTTTATATGAGTTCTAATAGATAATCAAATTTTAATCAAACTCGTTCTTAAACTTTATATACAATATGTATAATTTATAGCTAAAGTTTATAGTTATTAAATAGCTATAAACAAACTATGAATTAATTTATCATCCATGTTTATAAGATATTTTTTTAATTATTTAAATATCAATTTATTATTTCAATGTTGCTTATCCCTAGGATGCATTCAGGAATTATGTCTAGGTAACTCTCGGCTATAGTTTACATTATGTATATTATAGTAAAAATGCATCCTCAAGAATTATCTGAACATAATTCTTGAATGCATCCCTAATTACGACACTGTTTATCACATGCAACTAGATAATGTTTATAATTGAATCAAATGTACATTTGTTGCACTTAAAGTAAAACAGAAGAAAAGTTTTAATGCAACAATAAAAAACTTAATACACAGATTTTAGACTTACCATGCCACTGTGCTCTTGCATATCCTCTGACAATCTTTTTGCTAGTTTTTCCGACATCATCCTGCACGTTGATTAAAATATACTTAAATCTCCCATGGCCATCGATGTCCACATCAGGTACATTGTTCAATAACTGAGACATCCTGGTGAATCGATATATACTTATTATACCTAAAACAAAATATATATACAACAATAAACAAACAGCATATGACATAACTTGACATAAAACTGTTTTTATTTATATTCAAGTATCACATCGCAATGCAATGAACACATTGGCTGGTTTCTTCATTTAGTGACATAAGTAGTGATCACATTTTATTTTTCTTGACATTCAACAAGTAACAATGGTAAGACGACACTTGTGTCAACTTGCGTTATAGAATGAAAAATTGTTTCTATTGTTCAATAACTTCTTGATATCCTAACAAATTAACGTACACTTATTATCTTTATAACAAAATATGTACATAATGATAAATATACAACATAACCTAAGACAAATCATTTCTATTTACACCTGTTTATCGCACCGCATTGCAAACAATATTCTTGACGTATTACTAACACTAACCAAAATATCACGGATCAATATATCTCAAATATAAAAATACTTCTTTTACGCGCGACATAATATTATTTATTGTAACTGCCACAAATACCTTTTGGAGCAACTTGCCGGCTACTCCAGGCGCTTGTTGATGCTAATCCAAACTTCAAAATTACAGACATGAACGACATTGGGCGCGCTCAGCAGACTCGACACTTCGACAGTTTTACAACTGTTTTATTATTCTTCGCTGAGATAGGGCTATTCCTTTAGATCTAAAAGTATAATCCAATCAACGAGACGAATCATAAAAACGGTTGGGTCGGTTGGGTCATTGCGTCGGGTTGGGTTAGAGAGGTACGATATCCAATAGGAGAGCTTGTTTTCTAGATATATATACCAAGCATCATCGTACATACATACAATACAATATTGTTATCTATATATCTAGAAAACAAGCTCATCTATTGGATGTCGTACCGTTGTACATACATACGTCAGATGTCGTACGCAGTGTGAATTCTACATTATGGGCCTTCTACAATAAGCCATAAGTCATAAATCGGAAGTAAGAAACTAAAAATTGACGACTGTGATTGGTCCATTTCTAGCTTATGACTGATGATTTGTGACTTACGGCTTATTGTAGAAGGCCCATTAGGAGCAGGCCACCTAGTGTCCCTAGAAGATAGAGTCTGGCCACTACTCCTCAAAATGGCGTCAGTAAGTGGTGGATAGAGTCCCTATATCAGAGGCTGGCCCAGGAAGTAAGATATAAGGAGACTCCACTCCGTAAAATAAAAGTGGACCCATTTTAGGTTTCGAGTTCAGCTTCCGATTCTGATGAGTGCGAGTAAGAGAAATGATCATTTCTCTTACTCGCACTCATTATGCGCAGCACTACTAAATTCACGAGCGCTGCGAGTGTCGAGAATCGGAAACGGAACTCGAAACCTAAAATGGGTTCATGTCTTGTAGACTGGCGAGACCGAGTGGAGTCTCCTTATATCTTCCTTCATGGGCTGGCCACTGAGGCCTAGTGAAGAATTAAATGGCGTCTATCACATGACTTGTATATCATACACGTCCTAGACGTAAACACGGTTGGAAAAATTAATATATAAAATGATTACCATACAATCTATTATCGAATTAACAGAATATTTGATAGTCAAAAGAGATTATAAATATGTTTTAACAAGTTGCTTCACCTAAGATTGTGTCGAAAATTTATTTTCGGGAATTAGAGCAAAACATCAAATACCAAATGCATTACTGAATACAATTTAAGCAGGACTTAAAAGAGAACTTCGTATATCTCATTATATTAGACCAAGTAAAAATTCTAATTATGATCAAGACGACAAAGAATTTATTTGTAATTTTTTTTAGTAAATCCAAGAAAATTAATTATGAATCATTTCCAGATATTTCAGAACCTAAAACAGATATCCATCTTTCTAACATTCAATTAAACATTTTATACAATACTGCTGGTTATATTATTCATAGTATTGTTAAAGGTAAAGGTACCTTTTCATGCTGACGTTCGACGCTCATTTTCAGCGTCAAAACAGATCACGTGATAAGAATTGACGAATAGCTAGTGCTAATTTTAATCACGTGATCTATTTTGACGCTAAAAATGAGCGTCAAGCGTCAATATGAAATGGTACCTTAATGCTGTAATATGCAATTCATGTGTTGATTCTGTTGGATGTAAAAATTATACAGGTATAAGATATTCAAGATTGGTGCATTTAAAACCTTTTTTTAAAAAAAACTTTATTCTTTATTAACGAACAAGTTTTTGAATGCATTTTATAAATGGAAATAATTATTCGCAAATATCTTCCATATTTAAAAAATAGTAAATGCAACTTTAATCATTTCTTTTTTGAAAAAATGCAAACCATTATATGTGAAACAATAAAAAGCTGTCATCAACTATTTACAAAAATAAAGAAGCGTTTTATAGGATATCGTTTAAGAATCGTATATCAAAAAGGTCGTTTAAAAAATACAGTATACAACAGTAAAACAATGGCAATGTATTCTGTGATCAAATAATTTGTCTGCAATACCGATTTTATAAACTTATTTTTATTTTAACATATTGTCTTTTTTCTTATGTTTTTATATTATAGAAAATTAATGCTATAAAAGAATAAATAAAAAGTTGTTTCGTGATTTATTGTATTTCTCTTATTTGAATTAGCCAGAATTTTATAGTAATTCTCATTGGATCCGCCATGTTATTCTTGAGCTTGATTCAGCCAATGGGTGCGAACACGATGAATGGCCAGACTCTGATATAGGGACTCTAGCATCCCTTAACTTTCTCCTTCTTCCTCCATCCGTAGGTTTCAGGTTATTCTTAACCTAATCGCTAGTGATATCGCCAGCGACCGACAAAGTACGAAAAATTTCCGTTTTCGAAAAATATGCCCCATGGCCCAATGGGGGAAAAAAACGTTTTTTTAAACGTTTTTAAAAAGTTTTTAAAAACGTTTGAAAAAACATTTAAATAACGGGATTTGTCCCTATTTTTTCATTTAAAAAACGTTTATTTAAACGTTAAAAAAAACGTTTATTTAATGTTAAAAAACATTTTTTTAATATTTAAAGGAAACGTTTCCCAGATAACAAAAAAAAAGTTACAGCAGTTCTTATTAATTAGATTTCTTTCTCCATCATTTGTGTCCTTTCCTAAGTGCTGACTATAATAAATACCTAGGAAAAAACTTGTATAAACCTGATAGGATTTGAACTCGTGGACTCAATCCACTGCAGTTACCTTATTGACAGAGATGTTTCGGATTGTCTATATATACTTTTAATAAAAATATTTTGACTACCCAAACAGATTATATTTTGTTAAAATTACTAAAAGAACAATTATTTTGTAATGGCAACAAAATTTTACCTTGTTATTTACAAAAAGTAAGTAAGCAAATAAAGAGCCTCCACAAAAAAATGCCCGTTTCGGTACCTCGATTTTTGAAACTTTTATTATGCCAAATAGTTACATATGATGACCCAATAATCCCTGCAAGATTTCAAGATGAGCATACAGTTTAGGAAATAGGGGGGGGGGGGGGTTAAAGTTGACCATGTCCAATAAAAAAATATAGCAATTCTACATTTGAATTCGAACAATATAACGTCTAAAAAATTCAGCCTAAATGGATCTTTTAAGATTTTTGGCTGTTGATTATAAATATGAAATCCCAGATAACATTTATGTTGCATAAAATATCTAAAGGACGTCTTTTAGAAGTCTTATGTCTAAAACATGTCTAAAAGACGTCTTTTAGATATCTATCTTATGCAACATAAATGTTATCTGGGATCATATTTACAAAATTCAAAATAACGGATCCAATATGGCGGACAATTTTTGTTAAAATTCATTGGATCTAATCGAAACTTGTTATACATCCAATAGAGGCAAGATGTAACATGATGTTTATTACATCTTGCCTCTATTGGATGTATTGTATTCGCCATTTGTAATTTCTTTAAATTGACTTCAAATTCGTAATCAGCGACCCCAAAAAACCCCGAGTAACAAGTTTCAAATAGATTCAATGAATTTTAACAAAAATTGTCCGCCATTTTAAATTTTGTAAATATGACTTCATATTTATAATCATCAGCCAAAAATCTTAAAAGATCCATTTAGGCTAAATTTTTTAGACGTTATTGTTCGAATTCAAATGTGGAATTGCTATATTTTTTTTATTGGTCAACTTTAACCCCCCCTATTTCCTAAACGGGCTGTATGCTCATCTTGAAATTTTGCAGGGATTATTGGGTCATCATATGTAACTATTTGGCATAATAAAAGTTTTAAAAATCGGGGTACCGAAAACGGGCATTTTTTGCATGGAGTTTGCGGAGGCTTTTTGTACCGCTAAATAAAAAAATATACAATATTGTTTTTATTTAACAAAAAAATTGTATTTTGTTATTTTAACAAAATAATTCAATGATAATCAGCTATTTGTGTTTAATTCTTTTATATTAAAAGACAGAATAACAGTCTTAACTTACAATCTGACACGATAGATCTATATTGTTACAATTTTTACAATTTTCTTGATTCTAAAGCGTGTCATATCTACATAATTTTTATAGCTGACTTCTTTCTTACGATCTACTAATCGCTAGAAGAACAATAGTTGGATGTGATGAAGATGGATTCGCAGAATTAATCCGAAGAATTTTAACTTTAAGAATATGTTTGCGCTTTGAAAAAGACTCAATCCACGAGTCGAAACGTTAGCAGGTTTTAGCAGGTTTTTGAATATTGTTATTTTTTAATGTACATTTTCGAATTTTAAACAAATATTTTTATATTGTTAATTTTTAATGTATTACATATATGCGTTTATCTTTTTTTAATTGTTGTTTTATATTATTTCTTTTGACTCTTACAACGTCCTTTTAACTTTTTTCGTTTATGTTTAATTCTTTTTTTTTTGTTTTTACTATATCTTTTTCTTAATGTAAACTTGACGTTTAAGAAATGTTTCTTCCAAACATCATTTTAAACAAAAAATTAATGTAAAATTAACGTTTAACAAACGTTATAAATAAATGTATAAAAGATATTTTATTTAAACATTATTTAAAACGAAAAATTAATGTAAAATTAACGTTTAACAAACGTTAAATAAACGTATAAAAAATATTTCTTTAAAACATCATTTTAAACAAAAAATTAATATAAATTTAACGTTTAATAAACATTAAATAAACGTTTAAAAAATGTTTCTTCTAAACATTATTTTAAACAAAAAATTAATGTGAAATCAACGTTTAATAAATGTTTAAATAACGTTATTTTGGAAATGAATCATATAAAACGTAAAATTAATTACAAATAAACATTTAAAAAATGTTTAATAAACGTTAAATAAATCTAATTTCGAAAACAAATCGTGAAACATAAAATTAATAAAAAAGAAACGTTTAAAAAACATTGCTTCCCCATTAGGGGGAAGCCAGGATACTTGAAATTGGTACGATGCTGATTGGTTGCCCCTACCACTTCACTTTTCCGATTCTGTGTTCCGATTCCGTTTTCCGTGCCCATGGGACGGCACCCTCCGATCCTGAACACACCTGTAATCCTTCCACCATGAACTTTTCTCGTTCTTTCTTGGATCCTCTCTTCCAGAGTATACGGCTATACGTATGCGCGAAACGAGAAAGTACGAATTTGTTTCTTATATTTAAAACTTATGGTGGTTATTTTATTTTTTTTTACACTTAAAATGCATTTAAAATGAGCTAAATATATACATTATAGTCGTTTAAGAAAGAAAAAGCAAATATTTTACATGCAACATTCTATTATACAACCATAAGCTTACAATTTTGTGAAAAATGGATTGAATATGATAGAACGCATAATTTTATATAATAAATTCATTATTATGTTTTTAATTTATCCTGATTTGATCCTTATACATTTTTGGGTGCTTTTTAATTATAAAATTTTATTATTGAAAGACTTTTTAACGAACTTACATCTACTGGCTCTATCATAGGCATAAAGTGGCGTTTAGTCAATAGCATAAAGTAACTAGGCAGAAATTGATGTTCATGTGAAACGATATGATTGGTCGACGCAAGTTACGCTTACGCAAGTTACGCAATATGTGCTGGCACCCTTAAGTACAATTAAGCGAGGAGCACAGACTTTTGCATAACGCATAATACATACAGCCTGTTTTTTTTCTCTGCACTGTGCCCACAGTGCAATAAGTTGAAGTGAAATAGATATACGTTTGTTTCACTTCAACTTATTGCATTGTCTGAACTGGTGCAGACAGTGCAGGCAAAAAGAACAAGCCTATAGTGACTCCTTTCACACTGTGCATTTGATACACGTATTAACTAGTAATTTTCTATTAAATAATCTTAATTTCAGCAATGTATTTAAAGAATAATGTGTTAAATTAGTAAAATATGCATCAAAATAATTAATTAAATACACATATCATGTATATGTTTACACATAACGCTGAAATTAAGATAATTCAATAGAAAGTTACTAGTTAATACTCGTATCAATTGCACGATGTAAACTTGTCCAGTGCATAAGAGAAACAACCAATCTGAATTCCTCCTTTCCTTCTACTTCTCGGAAAATAAAAACTTTGATTAACTGATTCTCTTATGCACTATGCGTTATGCAAAAGCTTATTCTGGGCATCCGAGAATGGATTAAAATGGATTGGACATTTGGTCTATTCGAATTCGTACTTTAAACAGCGAAAACTTTTTTTTTATTCAATTGGATGCAACTGGATTGAAAAACTGCGTTTCCTATTCAAAATTTTGAATTGTACAGTATATTCACTATGGTCATAAACACACTGAAAAAGCTGATATTATTTTTAGATTGAAAAATATACAGATATGCTCCATACAATTCCTATAAATAAATAAAAACGTATTCGGATTGAAAAGGATTCATTTTAACATTCATGAATCCGTATTTCTGAAAATTTGAATCCATTTTAATCCATTTCAATCCATTCTCAGATACTGGTAATCTTAAGATGTCATAAGTCAATCAGAAAGTTGTATTAGCATCTTAAAATATTACTTAAAACGAGGACAGAAACTATGAAATAAGGACGAACTATGAATATTGCCCAGACGGCTGCATTAGCATTTTAAGACTTAAAACAATCTTAAAATAAAAACGGATAATGAAAACTCTCTAAATGCTGATAAATGTATGTATAAGAATACTAGTGAATGTCACAAGTTGTTGTCATATGACAAAGACTGAGATATATCTACGATCGAAATCCAAGGATTTCTCTTTGTCAGAGTGTGGAGGAAGATAAGTGGGGATAACGGTCTACGCACTACGCAGTCCAAATAGCATCATTTTTTTACGAGCATATATTCGGCAACCATTTGCAGCAGTGAGTCAGTCTCATGATTGGCCATTGCGATAGCCAATCAACACTCATAACATTGATCGTAGTTCTCTTGTCATCTAGAACTTAGCTATTTATCTTCTTGTATCTATTAATTCCCCTCCACATGTCGCAGTATACTATGCCATAAAGCTGTCACGAAATGGCAACAATGTACATACATCAATACCTAACATCAAGTGAACCACGCTCTTTCTTTCCATTTGCTTCAGAGGTGAACCTAAGGTAAGGAAAAAGAAGAACCTTTCATTCACTACTTTGTGTGAGATGCGCGGCCAAATTAAGGCAATATGGCGGACGGACGCAACGATTTTTAATGCGTCGTAGGGATGTTATTTTATCTGTTGAGCTATATATTCCGACAGGGGAACGAATTGTAGAGCAACTGAGAAATTAAACTGACTATTTCGTGTCGCGTGAGTGAGATTATCAGTGATTAATTCAGATCCGCGTCAATTGTGACTTTGATTGACCTCGATCTTGTGGCGCCAAAATTTATTTCCATACATACCACAAACATGAGCTCGGTTATCCGGTTGCGTTAGCTAATCTCACGGGCGACTAGTGATAACTTCATCTTCGATAATTGCTAACACGCTAACGGAGGATGTCTACGCAACCTAAAACACGAGGTACGAAAATATTTTCATGAAATTACTTTCATTGTCTTAATAACTTAAGCTTGAATATTTGCTTTCTTTTTTTGACCATTCTCCTTTCTGTTTCGTCATCGATCCTGTTATGACTATTTTTTATTAACCCGATAGTAAATATTATTAGAATGCCTTTGTAATATTTAGGAATTTTGAATCATTCTTTGTTATGTTATTATATTCAGGAAGACCACCAAAATTGAAGAATATTCCATGTACATGGTGCGGAGAGACTAAACAACCATTAAGGTATGTTCTTCCCACGCAAGATGGCAAGAAGGAGTTTTGTTCAGAGACTTGTCTGTCCGAATCTCGCAAGACCTACGCAAGGATTACTTGTGTACAATGTCAAAATGTGATAGGATTGAGGGGTACGCCTTTTAAACTAGAACAAAAAGATGCTCCGACAAAGGAATTCTGTTCCTCATTCTGTTTAAATGTATATCAGAAAAAAGAAACGCAAATAGACATAAAAAAAAGTGAGTCACTGTATAATTTTCATAAAAGTATACAAACTTATGTAACAATTCAAACAATTTTTAATAAATTGAAACAAATGTTTAATTTATAGATAGCAGTAATCCAGCGACACCATCGCCTGTTCCATCTCCGGCTCCATCTGGATTACCAAGCAACAATAATATACCAACGACACAATCTTATACAAACACGAATAATCATACAACTGTATCTCGTCGTCCATCAATAACATCCACTGGAACATCTACTATATCGTTGCAATATGAAGCCTTTCAGACTTTTGATTGGGATGTTTATTTAAAAGAAACAAATAGCAAGGCGGCCCCAATTGAATGCTTCAAACAGGTATAATTTACTGTTGTTTGACCTGTTAATATACAATTTTTATTTTATATTACTGCAGAATATATAGATTCACTGTTTGTTTACTGCTTTCATATTGAACATTGTATATATTATTTTAATTTCAGCATGAAGAGCCACCATTAAATGAATTTAAGATCAATATGAAATTGGAAGCATTAGATCCACGAAACTTGACATCAACTTGTATTGCCACAGTAGTAGGTGTTCTTGGACCGCGGTTAAGATTAAGATTAGATGGCTCTGATAATAAAAATGATTTCTGGCGGTTGGTTGATAGTAACGAAATACATCCAATAGGCCACTGTGAAAAATCTGGAGGAATGCTTCAGCCGCCACTAGGCTTCCGTATGAATGCTTCCAGTTGGCCAATGTTCCTCCTAAAAACTTTAAATGGTGCTGAAATGGCACCAACCAAAGTATTCAAACGTGAACCAAAGACACCACGCTCTAATTTGTTTGAGGTTGGACATAAATTAGAAGCAATTGATAAAAAGAATCCACAGCTTATATGCACTGCAACTGTTGGTGCAGTTAATGATGATATGATACATATTACATTTGATGGTTGGCGTGGTGCTTTTGATTACTGGTGTCGTTATGATTCTCGAGATATTTTTCCAGCAGGTTGGTGCTTCAAAAGTGGACATCCATTGCAGCCACCAAGACAAAAATGTACATGAATAAATATTTTAAAATTCTAAAGTAACTATGTAACTATACGAGTTCATTAGTATCTCTACATATGTATCTTTTAATCTCTTGTATACAGTAATTATTAATATTTGTAATTCACATTTTTTTAACGTATTCTCAATTTTAATCTTACAGCAGGTTCAAGCAAAGGAATTAGAAACTCTAAGGCCAGTGTTATTCTTGTAGTGGGGGTTGGCCCTGTAAATAACAATAACAGAGAGTCTGCAGTTGCATTAGTAACACCTGCAGGATCCAATGCTCCATTACAGCCTGCTACGGAACCTGACACTAGCACAGTTAATACCAAACCGCTTGAAAACGGTTAGTAAATTATAATTCTGTATCAAGTCCAGGTGATGTGCTGTATTTTCTACAAGAAACCATAAAGTTTATGCAAAAAATTTTAAATAACTTGGTTGTATATTGCAGTTACACTTTATGTCAACCATAAATGTCAGTGTGGGCCATATTTTGATATTCGAAAAGTGAAAGTTCTGCCAGCGCAATTTGGCACTGGTTCTATGACAAGTGTTGCAAGAGACATTTTTCAAGCATTTTTAATGGCAGCCTTAAATCCCAAGCAAATGTTGGGTTTACTGAGAAATGGTGATGGTGAAACTGTAACTTTAAGTACGGGAACTTTAAAGAAACCTGCTGCAGTTAAATTACCTCATTTTTTGGAGGAAGAAGACTTCTATGCATATATTAAACAGCAACTTGAGGACCTTCGTGCATGTGAATATATGTTAACTAAAAGAAAAGAACCTTGCAGCAAATGCCTCACACCTTCGCTACAACAACCACAGTCCACTAATATTGAAGAAACAAATAACTCTGGAGAGAAACGAAGGTGGTCTTCGGAAAGTCAACAAAGCTTAACGCCAACTCAGCAACAGCCTGTTCAACAAACTCCTGTGGAAAGTATGAACAATTCTACAGAATCTACACCTGCAAAGCAACCTCGCAAATCTATTCCTGGTATTTTATGTTTTATAAAGCTTCGTTATAATTAACAATAAGCTGCGAATTACAAGGATATTTATAATTATTATTTAAGAACGGATAGTTATTACTCTATTGTTCAGGATAATATAAAACATTAAATGTTAGCTCGAAAGTTTGAATATTAAATTAACTGATATTAACTAGCATCTTTGTGAAGTAACATACTGATTAAAAGGCATATTTACATACAGAATTAGAAGCAGCAACGTCTACTACTCAATCGAATGAAGCCACTGTAAGTCGCACTCTTTCCAATGAACCGGGAGACTGGACTATTGACGACGTAATACATTACATAGCCATTACGGATCCAATATTAGGACAACATGCGGAGTTATTTAAAAAACACGTGAGTTAAATATAAACAGGTATTCAACATTTTACTTCAACATAAAATTAACAATGACAAATTTTAGGAAATTGATGGCAAGGCTTTACTTTTACTCAATAGTGATATGATGATGAAGTACATGGGACTAAAATTAGGACCAGCACTGAAGATTTGTAATTTGGTGAACCGTATTAAAGGTAGAAGACATATGCTTATGTGATTTTCTTACATAAGTACTGTATAATGATCTGAAACACGTCGTATTAGGGATTCGGACCGAAACCGAAACCAATAAAAGGTCCATCTAATAGATTGGCATAGCCATCAATAAGATTGGCAGTAAGCAGTAAAGTAATACGACGTAGGCAATAGCGTAATATCTACCGTCTACGACGATATTTGTCTGTAGACAATGGAACAATGGCTGCGTTCAGCAGACTCAACTGTTGCAAAGCGGTTGAATGAGTGATCCGTGAGCACTTAGTGATCATGATCCGAGTCTGCTGAACGGAATATCACAGTTTTAATATCACGTGATTGATTTCCTATAATCTTATTTTCAGTATTCGAGACTGATTTTGACTGTGTGTGTGATTCCATCAAAACTTCTTATTTGTCGACTTTTTCGCGATATTGATACTATTTTGATGTGGGATATCACATTTATGTCTAAAACGTTATCAAACGATTTTTCGTACCTGTGTTTCTCGCTGCTAGGTATACCATTACATTGTATTAATATACTTGCTGTATTACAAAATCGAATACAATATTTTTTAGCAATATTTTTACAATACTTTTTTATATTATTATGCTAAAAATATTGTACTCGATTTTGTAATACAGCAAGTAACATATATTAATACAGTGTAACAGTATACCTAACAGCGAGAAACGTGATATCGCAGATATCGAACTTTTTGTGGTTAAAACCATCGACATATAGTACTAGACGGAGCATGCGGCGAAATCTCTTTGATCTTTCGTGTTGACGGACCTAGAAAGAGTAAGATAAATGTTTGGGCACGGAACTTTCTTTCTACTATTGTCCTATTGGTCGAATTGTGTTGCAGGAGAGGGAGGACTAAACGTATTCTTTAAAGTCAGGAGCCATTACAGAGGTATTATTACGCAGTAATACTACTACGGTGCAGATTAAAATCGGAAAATTATTTACATTATATTAGATATAAAATAAAATTGAGTAATATGGCTTCTACGTGTATTTTATGTAAGACTAACATTTTGAGCACAGATGTGTCACATGGCCCTTGATTACATAATTCACTACTACCCAAACATCGTTCTATTTCTTTCTAGGTCTGTCAACATGGTTTCGATGCTATACTCCGTCCAGTACTATATGTCGATGGTTAAAACCAATATTTTCACAATTTTTCCTCTGGTATAATCTCAAATTCGTGTTTAGACTTTTCACATGTATGCCTTCATATTGTTTTGCATCATGTTTCATGTTGAGTTTATGGGGTGTGTTCAGATTCCCAACCTGACGACCCAGGGTTGAGTTATCTAGAGTTTCTAACTCGGCTGATTTACTCCGAGTAATAGGTGGACTCTGAACGGTTTGGGTTACCATTTGGGTTAAAATATGGTGGCAAGGAATAAAAAGAAAGGAAAAGATGGATCACGAAAAAAATATCATTGTGCTTATGGCCATTAATGTGACTGAACAACTGTTCAGATCAATATTCAGTGAAACATTGGAAAATAGTGATGAAGAGGAAGAGTTGGTCGAGGCATTTTTATTGGAAGCCCATCTAAGGCTACGTGGCCCATTGAGAAAAGCTATACGAATTGAAGGTTATGTAGAAGAGACAGTTCCAAGATTTAATACAAAACAATTCCTTGAACATTATAGAATGTTGCCTAGTACGTTCGAACTGTTAGAAAATCGTCTTCATCCTATTTTGTGGTTCTTCGGAACTCTTTTTGGTATTCTCAATTTCAAACTTGCCGCTAAAATACGCTGAGTAACTCTTTAACCGATGAAAAATAATGGGTTGAAAAGTTGATTCTAGAGTTAACTTATATATGTAATACTCCTATATTGCTAGTAGAGGTCCAACGGCGATGCCATCATCACGGTGCAGACATATAATACCTTCTCTTTCTACAGATGTACATACGACAGTCTTGCGCGCATGCGTTAAATTTTTCTGAAACGACCAATAGAAACGTATCTCCGAAAAAATAAATGTGTGTATATATGGTATATACTCGTATATACCGTTTACCGAAAATGTTATTCAGGTTATTTATGTGAATGGTTCTGTGACAAATATTAAGCAATATTAGGAAATAACTTATCAAGTGGAATTATAACAGAAAAGATAAAGGTATGTATGTACGTAGGTTAAAAATGTGTTAACCTGTACTTCATCGAACATACAAGTGTTATGAATAAAACTAAAACAAATGGCACTAGCAATATAGGAGTATTACATATATGGAGTTAACCCAATTACTCTAACTTAGCGATCTGAACGCAGTCTACCGAATCAAAAAATAATTACTCAGGTATTATCTGAACGGGGTAAATATTTCTACTCTGAGTAAGGAATCTGAACGCACCCTGGATGTAAGAATACCAGGTGTTTCGTTCCCATGGATGCGCAATTGTTCAATTAATGGCCTCTTGGGCTAATCAGAAATTTACCTCAAATCTGAAAAAACAATATGGCTATTCTCATAAACTGTGGGTGCGATCCACTAGACACTTCAAACGCTCCAGACGCTATTGCTATAAATACTTCCGATAGAGTGATCCGTTAGCGTTACTAACGTTGTCAATATTACACAAGTGGATCAATCGTGAAGTGTTGGAAGCGTTATTATTGAACATAACCTGCTAAAAAATCTCGTAACCATCGTATTCCTAGGCTGCGGAAGACATAATTCATGTTAATATGGAGACGAACGTGGCATTACGTGGTTATATTATACATTCTTACCTTCATTAGCCTTTCTTGCATCTTCCTCGGAAACTTCTAAAGCATGAATATCTCCGGTATCAACATCTATTAATTGTATAATCGGCATTATTTTTAATTTCAATATAAAATGTTAAAACCAAACGAGATCACGAAACACATAGGTTATTGTTAATTATGATATTTTTGATTATTTCCCGCGCTTTTGTGTATTCAAAATATCGCTTCAACCATACTACCTCTTCGGCAGAAGCATTTTGGCATTGCAGCACGCTGGAAGCGAAAATCTATGACGTCATACATGACGTCGTATCTGCTATCAAATTAGTCTAAAATATCATTAAATAAATCTAGGTCTTTATGAAAATTTTTTTTAAAAAATTAAACGTGTTATACTTTAAAAAATTAATTAAATTTAAAAAAAAACGCTTCGAAGGGTCTAGTGGATCACATCTGAAGCACTTCGAAACGTTTGAAGCGTCTAGTGGATCGCACCCTGTATGTTTTGGTGTTTTGTTTTACCAGCGTGTTTTGTTTTTCACTGCGTTTATCTTTGATGATTAATGTGTGTAGAAAGTAAGTAAAATATAATTAAGATTAAAATATAATTCGTTTACGAAGTAAATTATCTCAAAAAGAGTTTGAGATATTATTTCGTGCTCTGCTTGCTGTGGTGATTACAACGTATGCTTTCCTTTTAGAAGACACACTCGACACAAACATCATTCTATCTTTGGCTGCTTTCCTTTTAGGAGACACAGTCGACACACTACACAAATCGACACACGTCACTTTCCATTTACAATTTTGTTCAAACTCAATCGACACACTTCGCCTCTGCTTGGGAGGAGAGTTGGAGTGTGTTTCGAGAAGTGTTTCACTAAGACAAGATTTCTTGTCTTGAAGAACATTTCTTGTTTTGTCCTGATTTTCAAGATAAAAAATTACGTTTTTCTTGTCTTGAGCATTTCTTGACACTGTATTTCTTGTCTTAATCTTAAGAAACTAGAATTTCTTGAAATTTTTTGATTTTTAAATAGGGCCTTTGTGGCTCTTTGACTTTTCTTGAATTTCTTGATCTTGGTGAAACACTAGTTTCGAGTCTATTCAAGTGTGATTTTGATGAATTAAGACAATTAAGTGATATTAGAACGCACTCCTTGCAATAATCGAATCTTATGCGTCCATTAAGATCAAAATTCAAATCTTTTATGGTTAGGTATTAAAAGTTCGTACACACGATACACACTGCATATATCGCGTTCCATTTAAGTGTGGCAAACTGTGTTCGAGTGTGTTATACTGTGTCGATTTGTGTTTCTTAAAAGGAAAGCAGCTTTTATCATTCGTTGAATGTCAAGAAGGATAGAACGACGTTTGTATCGAGTGCGTCCTCTAAAAGGAAAGCATACAACGTAATCACCACAGCAAGCAGATAACAGATTCAAACATTTTCTTAATTTTATTACTGATTAAAAATGTGTAGCACTTAACCAAGACGTTTGCCATAACATGGGGTGTGTTCTGTTGCAGCATAATGCGCATAGAGAACCGTTCCGTTTCAATCAATGTGCGCATCAATAATGCTGATAGCGCACAGATTTCCTTAGATTCTACCCACTTCTCAACGCATTAACTACAGCAGCTCGGACGTGAAGCATTTGATGCAGAGTTGATGCGCCCGTTGAAAATTATAAAAATTTTTGCCGCCTTTTGTTTGAACTTTAGTGCTATAACAATGGAAAGTGATTTAATCGAATTCCTAATCATTATTGACGAGAGTAATGAAGTTCTCACTGTCTTTCTCGATAAAGAAACTGCTGTGAAGGCTACTCGAGGTTGTTTGATATTTACTATATTTAAATCACATAGATTTTATATTAATACAATAAAAGCACTTTATTAAACATCGTACATAGAGAAGCGAAAAAGGTTAAACCTCAAAAGACAAAGACGACTCGGGAAGACAGAAAACAGCAGCAAGACAAAAAACAACATGAAAATATAATAATCGATAAAATCATTCCTCGGCAATAGATTCAATTCACAAACACCTGTAAACTTACATTAACTTATAAAATTACATCTCAACAGAGGTAACTGATTATGATATTACATTGAGAAAAATTTCATTTCATGTTCTTATTTCTTTCATATATAAAGATATAATTGTATACATTATTCACCGAAAATGTTCTTTAAATGTTGTTCTCGAACAACCAGGAATAACTCGTTCTACATAATCCGTTAGTTTATTCACAAATACCATTTCTCCCCGTATTTCGCTAATAATTAATATTGTGTATAATATTTCTAGTTTTGAATTTAAAATTAGTACATCTTCATCTTTACTTTCGTTATCACTGGATTCACTAGTGCTGCTGATAGCTTCGTGATTATTATTTATTAATAACAATAAGGCTAATATTTTGTTGTCATCCATGGTAGCGTCCATTTTTTTATTTGCATCAAATGCATAGGAAGACGTTCCGTTTCCAAACGCGCATTATATGCATTGACGAAACGGAACGATATTAATGTGCGCAGCACATTGAATGTGATCTATGCATTCTATGCGTGCAACGGAACGCACCCATGAACAACCTTCAAGACATAATAGCAATGAAATAGATCGTAGGAGCGTAATGGCCATTCTACAATAAGTCGCAAGTCTGAAGTCGGAAGCTAGTTGTAATGGGTCTTCTACAATAAGCCATTACTTAAGTTGGCCAGTTCCACAAAATCGATTTTAAACCGAGCTTAGTTGAACGATCGTTAAGTTTAACGCCATGGTTAAACTTGGTTTAACTTGTACTGCGGTCCACAATTCAATTTTAACCGTAGATTACGTAAACATATAACCTGTACGAAGAAACTTTCAAATATGTATTGTAATTGATTATTAATGGAGGTGGAAAACTATTTTAGATAGAAAACTGTTCAGGTTATGTGTACATACATAAACACAGTGCATGAGCTTTTTTTTCCCTCTAGAAGTTCTCTGCATAAGTTTATTTCTTGTAGATTTTTTTTGATTGATTTATATACAATATATGTCGAAAGAAAAATCAGTGTCCAAAAAAAGAATATCCAACTTTACAAATCTTGAGAAATTCAAACTTATTGAACTAATAATAAAAACTAATAAATCATTAATAAATTAATGATTGGCATAAAATAATCATTGACATAAAATCTTCATCGTCGGATGATAACACGAATGGCAAAGCCATATGACTCATATTTTTCTCTATAAATTTACTTCTTGCTCAAAAGTTCTACAAACCTTTAATTACTTAATTATTAACCTAACAAAGAAACTGATACTACAGACAGCTAGATACTACAGACAGCACTATTAGCACTTAAACTATGTTTAATTCATTAAACGCCCAAAATTCACCGTTCAATTTTAACCATAGTTCATGGACGTTAATCGAAGTTTAAGGCAATTGTGGAACGCAATATTTTCTTTAAACCAAGTTTAATGAGTTAAACTTCAGTTAAAGTAAGTTGTGGAACTGGGCCTTAATACTTAAAACTTGGTAATAACTTATTGTACAAGGCCTATAAGCGAGTCTATCATAAGGCAATCATAAGTCGGTAGCCTGTGACTAAGTGGAGATGATCAAGTTCCATCTTTTCCGAATTTTAGAACTTATAACGTTAAAATAAGACGAAGAAGATATGAATAAAATGAGAGATCATTTAAAACACTTAAGGCCTCCCTACACGATCAGTAATACTGAGTCAGTATTACTGACAGTGCATTAGGTTTTACAATCTTATACGATCAGGTATTATTAACAATATTTCACTTCAGTTTGACGTGATTTGACGTATATTATTATCTATGGCGACATGGATCTTAAGGAAAAAGCATGTATTTAAATCCAAATCATTGTCAGTATTCTACGTCAATCCATTAATATTAACTACACACAATCAATAATATTGTCAGTATTCGTTGATACTGACAGTATTACTGACCGTGTACAGAGGCCTTTAAACGAAATGGAAATGCTACAATATATAAAAAAGAAATGAATATATTGGAAATCGAAATTAACAAAACAAAATTAAAGACTTTACAAAATCAATATTCGAACAAAAAAAATATTAATTTACAATTGCAAAATTTTTCTTAGGATGGAAACGTAAAAAGTGAAAATTTTTTCCATTAACTTCAGTGGTAACAATTTTCACTTTTCATATTTCCGTCTTAGGAAAAACGTTACTTCTATTCGTATGTTGACAGTAGTTTTCTTTTGAGGATGTTAGAATCAATACTCACTTTTTTCTTTTTAATGTTTTAAAATTTAAAATGTTTTTGTTTTACACAATACTGTCCAACATTTGTATGTTATACAACGTGTAGAGACAAGAATATTCTTCAAGAGTATTTTTGTCTCTATACGTACGAAAATAAAATATGATAAAATGCTAATGTATCTTAGATATGTACATATACACGGCGACCTGAAGCACGAGTATAAAGACTGCCATCTTACTGATTGGCTAAAATGTTATGATGTAAGTAGAGACCCTCTAATCAGAGTCGCGAAATAACGTCAATAAGGTTAGGTCGGCGATACCATTTTTCAGCAAAAACCGGAAGTAGCGATTATAGTACATTGTGTAACAGTAAGGGAAAGTTGTTTATTGTGGGGACGGGTGCGACGGCACGAGCGAAGCGAGTGCGTACGCGCGCCCGTGTCGACCTATAAACAAATATGCCCCCACTGTTACACATAGAATTTTTCTTTGTGTAGGGCACATTACGTGCACGCATGAAGAAAAATATAATACTACTGCACGTACGAGCACCATCGCAGTTGCAATAAAAATACTATGATTGTGATACATTAACACCTAATACATGTGAATCTAAATACAGTTATCAGAAAGAAATTACATTATTATATTTTTTATATTAATACTGTATTTCATAAAATTATATTTTTTAAAATGACTAGTTGTTCTGCGCCAGACTGCAATAATTCTGTAAAAAAGGGTTATATTATGAAAATCTTTCCTCGTAATCCTGAAAAAGAGCAAAATAGGCAGCGAATGTAGGTCGACTTAAATTTGACGCCATGACTATTTCCGGTTTTTGCTGAAAAATGTCAGCACCAATCAAAATTGGAACCGTTATTTCGCGACTTTGATTAGAGGGTCTCTAGATGTAAGGTAAAAAAAACTTCAGAGTTGACACAGAATCGTAATAAGATTTTAGTAAGAAATATCAAGAAAAAGTAAAACCATTGGAAAAAAACAAAATAGACATTATTACGCTAGATTGCGACAAAAATGATTCTGCTAGGAACGATATTTCATTGCAAGATATTTTACAACTACAAAAAAAAGGTAAATTCTTCTCAGATTTGTATGTAATAATATGATGTATTACGACTTATTGTAGATACAAATTTCTTAAGACTTAAAACTAGTGACTTCTCACTTCAGATTTGCGAATTATTGTGAAAAGTTCAGCCGTAAAAAAAGACGCTATTCCTACTTAAAATAAATATTGCGAAACATAAATTTAAAAATGAATAAAGGGCATAAGAGTCAAAAATTAAAACTAATCTTGTATGTCAAATTAAAAAAAATTTTTTACTCCGAAGATAAAATAAAAGATTGATGTTCTTAACAAAATAATATGATATTATTTTAGAACAGTTGATTTGTCGAAATTTTATTCATCGGAGAATTCTTAACTGGAACATCCACTGCGTATCTATTTTATTTTTATATTTTTGATGTTGAAGATCTGAAGATGGCTCAATATAGAAGCCGAAACATGTAATTTTAATGTCAATATCATATTATTTTGTTAAGAACATCAATCTGTTATTTTATCTTCGGAGTAAAAAATTTTTTTTAATTTGATCTAACTCTATTTACGGAATTTTAATTTAATTTTAATTTACCAAGTAAAAATTGGTGATATGTAGTATTTATGCGTTATGTCTGAATGTTATCAGCGCGCAATTATGGGGGGACTACATTATGTAGTATATAATTATAAGCACTTTGATTTAGATTTGATCGTTATAGGCGGTATATTCTTTCCTTATTGTGGAAAGCTTTTAAGCTGCCACAGTAGGCAGTACCGAAATGGAAATAATTCATTTCGCTTACGGCTACTGTTGCGACCTTATATACTGCAAAACTTCACTGCTTACTATTATGCGACCTGAAGCCCATTCTACAACAGGGTGGCCAGCGATCCAATATTTTCAAATTCCCGGTTTTTTCCCGGTTTTCTAGGTCCAAAAGTAGCAATTTTCAAGGTTCTTAATATTAAAAAATTACATACGTACAAAATATGACCAGTCTCGTAAAGTAAAGTTCCATTACTTTAATCGTAACAAAAAATAATGAAATACATTCTTATTCAGAACAACAGTCAGTAATATTGCATGGAATCTATATCTAAGCAATATATATAATTGTTTATCACAAAAGTAAAATGCAAGAAGAAATATTTCTCAAAATATCCCGTGAAATAAAATCAGTAAAAAAATTAAACATTTAATTATATATAATATTATATATATATATATATAAACTTAAACATACATATATAAATTTGAACAAAATGTAATAAAAAGAACGATTTTATTTTTTTAAATCAGCAATTGATTTATGTATCTCTACCGTTATCTTTGATACTTCAGTTAGGTATGACTTTTTTGGTCTCTAAGTAATTCTTTTATTTCTAGTAGAGCTTTATGTTTTCTTAATGTCTCTATGTTCAACTGTTTCTCCGCCTCACGCTGTTTTGCCATAAACTCTTTATAATGCGAATGCGCATTGCGCATAGAGTGTATTAGTTTTTTATCAATTTTTATACTCTTAATATCTCCTACATTTTTAACAATATCATAGATACGTCGTTGAGCAATGAGACTTTTGTCAAGTTGATTTTCAACAAGGCACTCAGCATTTAGGATAGGGCGGGGTAGTTGAGCCACTTTTTCTTTAAATTATTATAAATCTTCACACAATTATGATAGACTAATGATAAATGCTTTAAAACGTTGCATGCTTATCTACCTCAACAATTAAGTATACTTATAAATCTTTAATATACCTCGTTAATTAGAAAGAAATTATGTTAATTGCAAGGATGCAAAGTGGATCAATATGCCCCACCAATGGGGTATATTGGGCAACTCCGAAGGGCAAGTTGAGCCATGAAGGTAATTGTGTGCAGGGTTGGGTACGCATAATACCTCACATTTTATGCGTGCAGTTTTATGCGCAGAAAACTCGAGTATTCTGCGCAGATAATTAAGAAAGATTTTCTGCTGCATAAAACTCCTTCAAGCAGAAAACATATATCCTTTAAGGTTATGTTATGTATATCTTCATTTTTTTAGCTTAGTAAAACTAAAAAGTAATAAAGAAAAGAAATTCCTTGTCACAAATGTCACTACAATGTCGAATACAGGAGGAAGATCTTCTCATGATTATTACAATGAAGGTCAGTTTATTAGAGTCAAAGAGAATGGAAAATATTTTTCAATTTGTAAATTATGCAATACAAGATTGTGTACTACTGCAATAGAACGCTTGAAAACTTATCGGTACATACAATAGTCAAAATAATTCCATTATTTATTAATAAATTATCATTTTGTAAACTGTTGTGACATATGAAACACTATAAATTTACTTAATATAAATCAACTTATTAGGCTATTTAATAGTTATTTCTCTCTCTCTCTCGTTTTCTTTTCACAACAATAATAATCCAACTTCTCAAAATATTTTACTACATTTGTAATATACTGCATTGAATAGCATTTGAAAATAGCACTTTGTTACTTTTATATATAGGGCAAAGTATTCAGTGAACACTAATGACATCGATGAAAGTGATTTTGAAAGGAAAAGAAGTTACAGCAGTATTAATGATATAAATGAAAAACGTGAAATTATAAATCATCGCTCATTTTTAATTTCTATCAAATCAAGAGCGGTGCAGACGATGTAGATTGTAGGTTATTTTAGGTTATAAATAGGCGTTTCATAGATTTTCTGTGTTTTCTGCATGGTTTTCTGCATTTTATGCAATTTTATGCGTATTATGCGTAGAAATGTGCATAATTGCTTTCTACCGCGCATATTACCCAATCCTGATTGTGCGTATTAAGGTTATACATAATTTAAAAAATTGCAGAATCAGATGAGTTAACGAAGTCTTTATTACAGTTTGTAACTTTTTTTTATAATCTATATTTTCTTTGTAAATATAAAAGAAAAGAACAAAAATAAAATTAAAGTTTTCTTGATAAAGATTATGAATGCAATAAAAAAAGAATAATAATTATTGAGTTTAGCTTCCTCACCTCCGATGCTAATAAAATTAGGCTTATTCAATGCGTTTTTGCACGAAATGAATGAATCTGGCAAAAAAGAGTGTCTCGCGAACCAAGATATTGTTAAAGTTGACAGATATTTAGGTTAGGAAACCTATCACATCGATACAAATAGTTATATAAATTCTGTTTTATAAGTAAATTCTTTACTTTAGAAACAAATGCTCTGGTATAAAAATACAAATTTTAGTTTCACTTACATGTTCTCATGTTTCTTTCTGCCATTGATTTGACAGATTTCCTAACCTATCGTTAACATTAAGGGGGAACATCACTGTGACGGCCGAAAAAAAAGGCTCTTTTTGTGAATTTTTTTTGAAAACTGATAGCTTGTATGAATTATTGTTTTTATATATTCAAAGTACATACATTTACGAAATTATTTAAAAAAATTTATTGAATAATATTAATATTTGTAGCTTCAGTACTCCTTGATGTGCACCTCGTCTGAAAAAACATGGGTGCACGGGCACTCGTGCTGCATCTGAACGTGAGCTCTGAAATAATTTTTTAAAATTTTATTTTAAAGTATATGAGTGTAGTTTCAGTTGCACGTACGGAATTTTTGATAAAATAATTTTAGACAAAATGGCGCTGTTTTAAAACGAAATTCACGATTTTGCGACAAAAAACGTTATCTTTTTAATTGTTTTTCAAAAACTAATAATCTGATTGAAAAGTTCGTACGTGCAAGTGACGACAATTTCGTTGTAAACATTCTGTCCAAAATTCAAGTCATTCGGATAAAGATTGGCCGAGATATGTGAGCACCCAGTTACGAAAACGTGGTTTCGAGAAAAACACGTTTAAAGTTTTACAACCGATTAGTTTATATATAACGATATAATTTCATAACGAATCAAAGTGCGTCCAATCCGGGTGCATGTGAAGTGTTCACGTCTGAAGCACACAAGAAACAAAAGAATATCGGTAAAATATATAAGACTTTTACAAAATGTGGTTTGAATCAACAAAAAATTTTAATTAAATAAGCATAAAAAACCACGCACAAGTTCTAGTTTGTGATAACTTATTAAAGTCATTAATTTATTGTCAAAAAACAAATCTATAAACGTTTCGATCAACACAAAGTGACCATCCTCAGTATACAATTAAACTATTATAACATGAAATCAAACGCTACATTAATAATAATTCGCTTACATCAACTCGCCTCGCTACAATATAAATTTCTTCTTAGCAACATTATCCATCGGTAACTTTCTCTCATGTCTTCACGTACAAATTCTTTCATATTAGTACAAATTCTTTTGACGAAACATCGTTAGCAGACTATGTTCCGTTTAAAGTAATCGTCAAATCTTAAGTGAAGCGTCAGAAAAATTCGAACATTGCAACAGTAAAGTCAGATATGTAGTAATATCGGTGAAACTGCCTACAAGCAGATCAAGGGGACTGCTGAATGTCCTAGCAGCATCTAACCACGTTCTACTCTATCACATATTTACTATTGTTCCGTTAGGAATTTCAACATAATATTATAGGGACATATTTTCAAGAATTCAAGCATTACAAAAATGCAATAAAAAAAAATCGATTTTTTAAAATCGTCACAGTGATGTTCCCCCTTAATGATTAATGTCTCGATCCGTGGGTCACAGTGACACTTTTTTTTGCAATATTCGTTTATTTTGTGCAATAATGCGTCAAATATACCCAGATAACAATTCGTGCGAGCTCATATTGCCCTCACGCGTACGTATCACATCGTGCCCATACATTGAATGTCATGCTGCCCGCACACATCCGTGCAAGCGCAATGAATCGCATTAAGGCCATTCTACATAAAACGCAGATCGCAGGTCGCGAGTGAAACGTATTTCAGATTGTGATAGGTTGCAGACCGAAATATGAAGGACGCAGGACGCAAAAGTTGAAATTCACCCAACTTCCTGCGTTCTGCGTCCTACAACCTATTATAACTAAAATATGTTAGGTTAGTTTCTAGTCTTGCGACCTGTGTTCTGCGTCTTATGTAGAATGGCCTTTATGCAATCACGCCGTGCGTCCACCGTGCGTTCACCGTGCGTTCACCGTGCGTTCACCGTGCTGTTATCATGTTGCCCACACAAAGTGATGGGGGCATTCGTGCGAACGCAATGAATCGCATTATGCAATCACGCTGTGCGTTCACCGTGTTGTTATCATATTGCTCGCACGCGTGAAGTTGCACGCGTGCGAGCAATGTGAATCTCATATGAGGACGCATCTGTATGGCGATATGTACTCCATCGTGCGAATAATCCGCACGACGTGCACGCACTATGACATCACTATGCGAGCATTTTGTTATCTGGGTAATCTTAATTTTATCAATATCAGAGATAAGGAGGCTAAACTTAACAATTACCGAAAGAATAGATTTCAATGTACAAGCGGGGTTAGTTGAGTCACTTGACCCAACTAGTCCCACACCAATGTCGGCTCAAATATAATTTTAAAACAACAAAACTGTCAATCAAATAACAACTTTGACGTTGAAATTATAAAATATGCTAATAACTTGTGATGAAAGAGTATATTTGGTTACTTTTAAATGCTTCAATTATTATATAGACCAAAAAGAATACTTACCTAACTTTCCTGACTTTACTTTCACTACACAAAACTAAAAAAATGATTATATATTTCAACTGACGATCGAGCGGAGACTAGCGTATTCAGCGCAGTAATATACATCTTCGTGCTCGTCTGATGCAAGAGTGACATGTTCGTACACATCTCAGTTACCGATATATTTAACGTTAGTTGCTTTCCATTTACTCTGATTCTCAGATAATTTTCACTTGTGACGTCATAACTCAGTTGAATGCGCGTTCCTTTTGCATTCTGAGAAGTGAGATTCAACTGAGTTTTTACTTACAAACTGCACAAGATCAAGACCGTGTGCTTTATTGAGTCTCGTAGACTCACTTTAAAACTGAGGTTATAAACCTGAGTTGTTATTTGTTAATTTTACTAAAGTAAGCAAGTAGTGACGTCATTAATCTGAGTATTTTATACTCAGCTCACTTCAGACTCAGTTTCACTTGTGTGTAAACGGAAAGCAACTATTGTCCAACTTGCCCCTATGCTCATATAGCCCCGCTCTACCCTACGGAGAAACCGCGTCCAATGGTGGCATTTCCATGAGATAAAATCAAAATTAATTTAGCAAAATCTATTAAACTATTACACGGTTTCGTCGATAATTTTACTGTATTCATCCACATTTTATCTATAGACGGTTTTTAATTCTTTCAAAAGATTTCAAAATTTCCTGAACTAGAGGCTTGCCGCAAAAATTTACGTATTCTTGTTTTACACAATCTGCTTTGACGCCAGACATTTTTCGGCTCGAAACGAAAATTTCAAGGCAAAATTTAAAGGATGTTAATCTTTTAAGGGCTATTTTCGAATCTAAAGCTACTATAGGGTTCAAGCATGTAATGGCTTGTGTAAACTTGTACTTTAAGGATGAACGTTCACGAAGTTTTACAATAATCTCGATAATACAATTACGCATATCGTCTTTCAGTTGGAGAATTTATAACTCTGAAACATCCTTCACTTTCTTCAGCGCATCTTTCGTCGCGAAATCCATTTCGAATTGTTTTGCGGATATCAGATTATTCTTATCTGATAAATCTATTTTATTAAGGTAAAAGGTATTGTTTAGTATTTCATTTTTTACTACCCGCAGTATATACAAAGAGTACATAAGAGTATGTAACTCGTTGTACAAAAATGGTGCCATAGATACGTCTGAAATTCACGCAAAAATGGTTCAAACAAAGATGCTGTTGTGCTGAAAAAAGTAAGTTTCGGACCGATAAGTTAGAGCTACTCTTCGAATCATTGACGGGTAGTGAAATTCCCGGTTTTCAAAGTAAATCCCCGGTTTTTTCCCGGTTTTCAAGGATTCAAGGTTCGCTGGCCACCCTGTACAATTACATACGTAAGTGTAGTTGTAAGTGGTTGTAAAAAGTCGTAGGACGCAGATGTAAACTATTATTGCTGGTTGTATGTTGTGAAAGATGATTTAACTTTATCTTTGACAACTACAACAGCGTAAGAAGTAAGAGCCAACCAATCAGAGTGTTGGTCATGTGACCTAGTCGCCATCATTTTTGTAATACTACATGGGCTGAAAAGTCCCGGGATTTTTCAACAACTGGTGCCATTAGAAAATGAACATGACTCATTTCGAGAGGCTCATCTGTCACTAGTTTATGTATGAAGTTTCATGACATTTCGTCCATTCGTTTACAAGCTACAGTTGTTTGAGTGACGCTACTTTCGCCTTCGTAAAAAAAATAGAAAAACAGGAATATCGCATCTTGATCAAACATTGTTTTTTGATGGGAAAAACTCCTGAACGATCATTGCAATGGTTGCAGAAATGTTATCCCACATCTGCTCCTTCGAGAACAACAGTCTATCGGTGGTTTAGTGAATTTAAAATGGGTCGTACAAGCACCGAAGACGCACCTCGCTCTGGAAGGCCAAAAGAGGCTACGAATGCGGAAATCGTAAAGCAAGTGCATCGAATCGTTTTGAATGATCGTAAAGTGAAGTTGCGCGAGTTAGCTGAGGCCGTGGGCATCTCAAAAGAACGGGCGGGATACATTTTGCACGATGTTTTGGAGATGAAAAAGCTATCGGCGCGATGGGTGCCGCGCTTGCTGACCGTCGACCAGAAACAGCAGCGTGTTGGTGATTCAACGGCCGGTTTGGCGTTGTTGCAGCGTAATCGAGCGGACCTTTTTCGACGTTTTGTGACGATGGATGAAACGTGGGTCCATTATCATACGCCTGAAAGAGATTCAGATCAAATGAGGAAGTCATCGCGGAAACCGAGGCGTATTTTGAAGGCTTGGACGTTTCGTACTACAGAAAGGGCATCGAAATGTTGGAAAATCGCTATACCAAGTGTATCGCCCTCGAAGGCAACTATGTTGAGGAATGAACATAACTTTGCCCAAAAAACGCTCGTTTTCATTAAAAATCCCGGGACTTTTCAGCCCATGTAGTACATGAAGAGCATAAATAAACGCAAATCAAACGGGCCAAGCTATCGTTCTAAATTAATTAATAATGGAAAACGAAGAAAATACTGATACACAGCAGTATTTGTGTGCGTTCAGCGAATACAACGGTTGTACATCTGATCATTGAGCGCTCATTGAGCATAAAATGATAAGTGAACAGTTTTTTAAACGTTTATACATGCGCAATAGCTACACAAAAACATAATCTTTATTTAAACAACGTATGTACCGCATAGTGTTTATATTTGGAAAAGTTCTTTTAGATGTTTACAATAATGGCTGCTAATTTTATACTTCTGATTTTGCTATTATAGATAATCATGTTATAGAGAGAAATATAGTGAGACATTTTTTCGAAGAATTATAAAATGAATTACTAAATAATTCGGTAAATATATAGATTAGGGGAGCCCCTCTCGATGATCTTGACCTTGACATATGTTGTCAAGGTCATGACCCTGAGTAACCTCCCGCAGGTTTTAGGTGGCGGTCACTGTCCGTTAAAAAGTTATTAACAAAAAAAGTTTCAAAATTAACGTATCATTTCTGCCATATATGTATACAGTACAATCGTAGAAGTCGTGTGCCCCTTCGCAGGGGGTTGGGGGAGGTGAGAGTTACTTCGCGTGGAAAGTTTAACGTTTCTAAACAGAAGGAGATGTAAAATAGTACTTGTTATAATACATATATGGCAGAAATGATACGTTAATTTTGAAACTTTTTTTGTTAATAACTTTTTAACGGACAGTGACCGCCACCTAAAACCTGCGGGAGGTTACTCAGGGTCATGACCTTGACAACATATGTCAAGGTCAAGATCATCGGGGGGGCTCCCCTATTCTATATATTTACCGAAGATTTTTCTGTAAGTTTTAGAAAAATCTAAAGAAAATAGATTTTTCAGAGAACGTCCTTAAGGCTTAAAACACGTCTTGTAGATCTGGGGTATAATGCGTAAGGCATAAGGGAATAAACTAATCAGATTCCTTCATTTCTATCCCCACTACTCGCTCTACTAGGCTCGCATAGTGCGTAAAGCATGATGCATAATATGTCGAAAAATTCGTAAGGATGAATTTTTATGCGTTATGTAGGATGCTTTCCAGCTAGAGATACAGACGATGAATTTCAATGGCCCATTTTCTTATATATGAGTCAATGGACCAATCAAATTCTTTATGTATATGGTTTATGCGTTATGCAAAAGTGTGTGTTTGGGCTCTAAAACTATATCCACACAAACTCGCATAGCCACATAAACGTATGCATAAAGAAATTGATTGGTCCATAAGCAAATACATAAGAAAATGAACCAATCAATTTCCTTATGCATTCGTTTTGTGTGGATATAGCTTAAGGGGAGGGTAAGGTTAATTCGATGAAAAAAAAGCATATATGCATGAATTTGTTTATAAGCTTTGGTTAGTTCCAGTGTATTTGGGTAATTTTATTTTAATAATACAATGTTTGAAGAATATTTTGTGAAAATTTGAACGAAAAATATGGAGAAACAACACATTGGCACGCAATTTTCGGAGGCGTCTCGAAAAAAAGGTGTCTTGCAGTGTACACGATAACTCGTTACTGGATCATCTAATATCAAAAAACCAAAATTTTTTAGTTAGTTAATAAGTTTCTCAAGGTAACGCTGTCGAGTTTTTTTTTTTAATCGATTTTTAAATTTTTGGTAACACTTGGAAGTCAAAAATCGATTTTTGCTATAAAAAATCGGTAAATTTGTTATTGTAAAATAAATAATAATTACTAAAAAAAT